GCTGTGTATATATATATATATATATATATACTATTAAAAGTCATGACCCACCAACTAAAGCATTCTGTACACCCTGACATCTCTTAAATGATGGATATAAATTGTGTTTTAACTAAGATTTTGTTTGTTGTAACACAGCTGGCCTAAATAAGCTCTGATGTCATAAGCAGTGGAAAAGAACAATCAAAGTATAGTTAATTAACTGCAAAGCACTCTTCTTACTGGAAACCAGTTAGTAAAGAATGATTTGAATTAAATTATTATCAGTCTTATTGTGATGTAATATTAAACATACACAAATATTACAAGTAAGTATTATTATACCTTAGGGAAAATGAATTATTAACTAAGTAGTTTCTAAGTATTAACATTTTGGTGAAAGTTAATAATATCCAGCACAAAGAAAAGCCTTTGACAGTATGAAGAGTAATAACTGTACATAGTATGAAGAGTGATTGAATGAAAGTGACACTATTGTAAACTATTGCAGTGTTTCTAATTTAAATGTTTAAATTTTGTTTGGTCAGAAGAAGGTCTGATGCACGTGATGATTTGCAAACCTAATGTCTGGAATTTTCTCCAAATTTCTAGAACTGTTTGAGCAGTATAAAATGTTAGTTACGTTACAGTAGATGATTATTAATTTTTGAGTCTATTGATAAGTTACATTTAGTCTGAAGTATTGAGTTATTATTGAATTATGTTTATTTATTTATTTATGAATTAGTTCATTTTGTGAATATTAAGCTTGTGTTCTCAACAAATTTAAGTAAAAAAGATACAGTAAAGCTTCATTAATCTAGACATTGATGATCCAGATGCTTTTTTGTATAGACAAATCTTCAAACATGAACTTTAATCAATAATCTGTATATTCACATTCTGAATCCAAATAGCTATTCCTTATAATAAACATGCATTTCCAATGGATACATGATTTAGTAATATATACATAACTCCATAAGAGTCAAGTATGGGTCAATCAGAACAGGAAACAAGGTAATAATTACTGACCACAAAACACCTGTACTAACTAGTGGGTACTGGTTAGAACAATTTTTCTGAAAATGACCTTCACTCACTTGGGGTGCCTGTTTATGACCTTTTTCAGACTGAACTTCACAGTATGGATGTGCATATAAACTTTAATAGCTATTCAGATGTCATCAGAGTGATTTATGATACAGTCATACGAATTCACAATGAAGATATGTAGAAATATCAGCATCATTAAACCGTGATGTTTATTTATATAAGAAATCACTAGCAGGCATTTCAGTGTAGAAAAAAATGTTCTCATGGGAAAGTTAACCATATCTGATAATCTTCACAGCAAAGAAAAGTGGGTAAATATTTCAGAAGATTCAGGTCAACTAACTAAGGCAAGATATTCAAAACATTCAAACATGGAGCGAGCTCTCTATTTTTGTGTTAATTACATAATGATTATTTATAAAACTAATCAACTTGGTATAACAGACTCTGGATACTCCAGAAGATGCTGAAACAATTCAAGGATGCACTGAAATAAAGAAGAAAATGTAAGAAGATGAAGCAGGAAATCTTGATCAAAACTCAACCACAGTAGGTTGTTATGATCCTATATCAGGATATCAAGTGTTATAAGATAAAGACATCATTTTCGTTGTCTCTTCAAGTATGTGATTACAGTGAACCTGGTGTCAAAAGTGATCCACCATTCGAGCCACAGTTAGTCTGACTAAAACACAGTCTAGCCTTAAAGATGTTATCACATGATTCTAACAAAACAGTGATTTATGTGAAAATGGTAACATAATGTGTTGTTTGCTAAAAGCTGCTAAGAAAGTTCTAAAGAAAAAATTCAGTTCAAAAACAGACTCTGATTATTTTCTTCTTTGGAAAATGATCTCTTGTATATTTAACCAATACAATGTATTTTGCATTCTCTAAGTGAGTACATAATTGTTTTGAAAAAAATTATCTTTCATGCGAAGATAAGGCAATGCCACTTTGATTATAAGAGTTGTGTAATTATTGATGATATACAGAATAATAAACCAGTAAGTTTATTGTAAATACAGTTGATTTTTTGTTTACTAATTGCATGCCCACTTTTACTAGTATGCACTCATACATTTATCAATCGACAACTCGTGCTACTAAATTGGTGCTCATTGTATTCAAAGTGATTGATATGACTATCCAGATGTCTGAATAATTTAGACCAATTAGTTCCTTATAAATATGCTCATATTAATGAGGTTTCACTGTACATCACAGCATTAGAAATTAGAAAGAAAGTGAAACTGTTGTACTATGAACCTAAACTGATCATTGAACATTAAACTTGAAGTTAAAAATATAATGTGTTTTTGCTATTGTTACATGGACTGGTCTATCCATCATTCCTTTTACCAAATAAAATATAATAACACATTTAATAGTAGAAACCACCACAAAAATACACATGTAGTATGTATGTATATATATGTGTGTGTGTATGTATATGTTACCACCATAAACTTAATATACATGGTGGAAGACTGGCTGTGCCATCACACTGCTGGTTCTCTGGGCTACCATGTTTTGTAGCAGTCAAAACGCTGACAGTTAAAACAGCAAAAACCCTTTCTGTTTTAATGTATGGTAAAAACTTGCAGCTTGTGCAAATACAAATTAAAAAGCCTGGAATTACATTTCACAGATATATATTTTTTGTATTGGTATTTCTTTGATTGATGTTCCACTTGGAACTCTCACTGCTTTTTTTTTGGTGGGTCAGTAGCAAGTATTGCTTAATAATGTCTAGTTCAGGTTAAAATTCAGTTAAGGCCACTTGAGAAGCTGCCTAAAAGCAAAGGCTAGATTAATCTACTTAATTGTTGTTTCAGCAATTCAGAAAATCATAGAAAATAAAGCTTAATCTAAAAAAAAGATTACTTTCATAAGTTAGTTCCTGATCTCATAATTCATCGTTTCTGCTACAATTATATTCATTTTTCTAATATTTCTTATGAATAACAGTGGCAATTTTTGGAAGCTTAGGGTGATGTTAATGGGTGGCACTTGCTCCCTCTATACCAGCTGGACATCATAAAGATGTAAAAAATATTAGAAACTGCCTTTTGTGGTATTTTGAAGTGGTTTTAACCTCTCCTTCCCCAGTGAAAAGTTGAAATGCTGCTACATAGGAAACTTTACATGTTAAAAGATATTATGATATTGTCTTTGATTGCTCTTAAATGCTGTATATAATAGAAGCAATGTATAGGTCTATATATGCAATGCTAGCATAAAAATTTGAACTCACATATTTCTTTATAATAGTGATAAAGATTGTTTCTCAGTCTGTATTGATAAATTAAAAACATTGTTAAATTAGAATCCATAAAGCCTACTTTTGATTTTAAAATCTAAAATATTTGTTCAAATACAAAACCCCTTTAACTATTAAGTTTTTGTTGAAGTTTTTTTATTAGCAATGCCCTTTCTCACTCATATTTAATGCCTCAAAGAAAGTGGGGCTTTGGAACCAGTGTGACTAATGCAGACAAATATGTGCTCGCCTGTTTTTCTCAGCATAACTTATATTACGTCTATGGTTAGCACTAACAGGATTGATCATTGAAGAAGAAATTGAAACTTATATAATGTACCATGTCCTGTGTAATATATATCTAACAACAAATGCAAAGGCATATTAGTTATCTTATACATAAGAAGTATCTACATATTAAAATTGACAAAATATAGCAGTGAAAATAATATTATATGTTTCAATAGTGTAATATTTTACCAGGTACAAATGTATTGAGAACGATTAATAATTTGAAATCCAACTGAAATATAATCATAACGGAAGATATAAATACTGCAATAAAAGAATATTTAAATTTATTGTACATGTTTGGATTTTATGAAAAATGAGATATATAATTGCAATACAATCTTGTACACAACATACAGAAATATGTTGAGTAGAGCAACTATTATTGCAGAAAAATAGTTAGACCATCACTTGGTTGCTAGTATATTAGATTTTTGAACTAATGCAATGATTAAAGAAATTAATGTTATAAAATTAACAAAAAAATAAAATAATAAAGGTAAAAATATTACTAGAAAATAAGTGATTAATTATCAGTTGTGATATACAAACGGTTAAGTATAGTAACTTAAAATAATCCTGAATAAACAAGCCATGTGACAACCCAACAGATATAAAGTTGTGGTGGAACAGCATATATCAGAAGTACATTTTGACAGTACTTAGCATTTCATAAGTTGAATAATATCATCAAACTTGATTGATTTTGGGAAGGGCACATAAAAACCCTTTCCAAGGTGTACAGATTTGAAATTTCTAAGATGGGGATATCCTTGTAATTAATGATAATTGAAAACAAAGGAATATGGATCAACCTGGACCATTTTCAGAAAGAGACTTGCAAAAAGTCATACCTCTATGGTACATTTACTGTAAGCAAAGTGCAGCATCTTGTAATAGGTGAGAATCCATGTACACAAAAGTCAGTGGCCAAGCTGTCCACCTGTCCCAAACAACAGTATGTAACATAATCAAAAAGGATCTCTGTCTGGAAATGAGGCCAACAGGGTATAGGTTCCTATATATAAAAACTTCCAATCATATCTCCTATTCAACTGTTGCATATCTCAAGCTGCTGGAAAATGAAATGAGTATTCAAGCTATTCCTTATGATGACATACTGATCAAGTTCACAAATGTAGTGCCTATAGATGTCTTTGTGATAGGACTGTTGAAACAGGTGCTGGAAAACCATCATCCTCATACAATAGATGAATTAATGAATTATGTAAGTCTTGCAGGTATGAGTGTTGTACTTTGGGCATGGCAACCCTTACAATGGAGCCTTTTGTAATGGAAACTACGCTGCAGAGTTATTGTCAAGATGGATGGCTATCAGATAGAGGCATGTTTGGAGATGGTGACATGGACTGTAACAACGTGGTGAGGCTCCAAAATCATAAGTAATATAACGTACTCAATCTCTGTATTCCACTAACAATTCCTTATTATGATTTCTGGATATGTACAATAACTGACTGAAAAATAATATATAATCTTATAATTCAGTAACTTTGTACAATTCTCTCCTTCTGTGAATAAACTACATTGTAAATACATTATTTCTTATGAAATATAATAAAACATTAATTTAATAAAAACAACTGTTTTTCAAGCCCAAATTTGAAAATTCTCAGTCTTTGATCTGTTTTTTTTTATGTGCATCAGTTGGTTATCTCAACCTGTACATTGAAATATGTTTCATAGTTTCTATAAAAAAATATATCTTAAGATCAGAAGGTATGCAAAAATAGAATATTTTTATAAAGATGTTGAAATAATGCTAATTTCACAACCCCAAGAGGTGGATAAGGGACTCAACCTAAGAACTTTATCTCATTGGAAAATGTAATATTTACAGTTAGTTACAGCTTGTTATATTTGATCTTAGAAAGTCAGTCAGCATTTTGTTACTAATGTGACTTTATAACCTCAATATAAATTATCAATTTTTTAACTTTTCATGACTTACTTGATCAAATCTCTCTCTCGCTGTTCAAACTGAAGCATACATGCCATTAGTTCCATGTAGAGGTTGTTTGCACGTTCAAGTTTACGCTCATAATGTTCTCTAATATCTTGAGCATGTCTTAATTCTTCCCTTCTTCTTCTTAGCAAGTCCTCCTCGACTTTAGCCACACGACTCCCTTCATTCTTTATCTGGTTCATGTAGTTGTGGATTTCCTCTTTCCAAGTTGCCTATTGATAAATTTCAAAAACATTAGCCTTAAATCATTTTGTAAATAATATAAGATATCATAATATCACATGTCAGTTTGCTATTAGCCTTTTATTAAGAACTTTCTGCACAAATCTTAAAAATGACCATCGTATTTTGGACTAAATTAAAAGTATTAAATGGCAAGTTGCCTTATAATAAATTGCTCAAATTTTAGTTCTAAATAGTTTTATAACTATTACAAGATATTATATTATTACATGACAGTTTATTGTAAGCATAAGTAATTTTTGCACGAATCTTAAAAATGACAATCGACAATCATATTTTAACTGAACTAAAAATAGATATGGCAGAGATTATTCATTTCAACTACAACTTCAAAATGTTCTCTGTCTATTTCTTTTAAGAAACATTAAAAGTAGGCAGAAAGAAACTAATAAATTATGTAAACATATTTTTCTTACAAATAAAGCTCAGTTATACAACATATAGTAATATATATGTTGTTATAATAAAACCAAACCATATACTAGACATATTTCAATTATTGACAAATTAATAAAAGTAGTTTTTGCCTATGTACTAATAGGTTATAAAACTTTTTTGTAGAACTTTATATTACAATATTTGTTTCCTGATGAATAACAAAATTATTTATAAACATGGAAGAATATGAACTTACGTATTATGAACTTTCAAAATTATGAAAAATTATTATTTTAAACATTGATAATACAGTTTTGACCTGAATATCATCCATCTTTAATCTTGGTAGTTATAGTGGACGAGTAAAGTAAACAGGTTACAGCCCATTATAAGTTTTTTATTAGTGTTCAACTTTACTCCAGAATAAATTATCATATTATGTCCTAGATTTTTATTAGTATTCAACTTTACTCCAGAATAAATTATCATATTATGTCCCTTAGATTGTTATTAGTGTTCAACTTTACTCCAGAATAAATTATCATATTATGTCCTAGATTTTTATTAGTGTTCAACTTTACTCCAGAATAAATTATGATATTATGTCCTAGATTTTTATTAGTGTTCAACTTTACTCCAGAATAAATTATGATATTATGTCCTAGATTTTTATTAGTGTTCAACTTTACTCCAGAATAAATTATGATATTATGTCCTAGACTTTTATGTAGTTGATTTTAACCATGCAATCTTGAATGTTAGTTCTTCCCATTAAAGTATGTTTTTCTAGTAAATAAACAGGAAACGCACAAAAGAGAAACATCATACTTGAGTTTTGAAGTACTTTTCTGTAGGTGTACTAAGAATTTCTACTGCAGCTATATCTAAGTGCATCAGAATATTACGAAATGATGGTCGATTTCTGGGTTTAGCATTCCTATGAAAAAAGGAGGGGAAAAATGTTAAGTTTCTAATTACTAGTCACTTCAAGTTTAAGAATTTCCTACAGCTCTAACATTTGATCATAGATGTAATTAAAATTATGTTGCAAAGTTTTGTGAGAAAACACAAACTAAATTTTTGAATAGATTGTTAACTAAAGTCATTTAATTTTTACTGGTTGAGAATTTCCTTAAAGTATTTGCACAACAAAAACATTACTACATCATATCAAAGCACCTACTTTTTACACATTTCAATTAGAGTTACATTTATTTTAAAGAATATATTGTTTTCTTTTAACTTTTGGTTTCATTATCTATTTTATGTTTTGAATAAATTTCCTTCCCTTTTTTTCATAGCTTTTCTTATTATATCTGCTTATTTTAAGCATAACAAGTTAAAATGAAAAAAAAAATATTGCTTATTACTGTATGTAACCACTGCCTACTAACAAATATACATGTATAACTGACAACTTTTATCAGGAAATTCCTATTTAACATTTAAGAGTAGCTAAATCATTGTAATTTGTAGGTCAAAGCAACTCTGTACAAATGAAGTAGTGGATTTTGTGACTTTGGTTCAGCACTAAGATTGTAATCTATGCAGTACATTTTTCAGAAGTTTCATGATTTTTTTTAATCAGTTGTCTGCCCCATTCTTAACATGCTTACACTTATGATTATAACATTACAAAGAGTTCATGGAAGTTTTCCAAAAGCTACACATCCAAAATCTATCTTTTGTTAATTAAATATCAGTATATATATTTTTGTTTATATTTACTATTTCAATGTTCCTATTCTCACTTCTAATTCATATATGTGTAGATACCCTGAAAAAAGGATTCTGCCAATCACAAGGGCAACAACTTACCAACATTATGTATGGGTAAATACCCTAAAAAGGGATTCTGCCTACCACAAGAGCTACATCTTACCAACATTATGTATGTATAATTAGATACCTTGAAATGGTATTCTGTCCATCACAAGGGCTACATCTTACCAACATTATGTATGTATAATTAGATACCTTGAAATGGTATTCTGTCCATCACAAGGTCTACATCTTACCAACATTATGTATGTATAATTAGATACCTTGAAATGGTATTCTGTCCATCACAAGGGCTACATCTTACCAACATTATGTATGTATAATTAAATACCTTGAAATGGGATTCTGTCCATCACAAGGGATACATCTTACCAACACTGTTTCATAAGAAGTTTAAACCCATTAGGACATGTAGATGGAAGAGGCAAATGAAGGCTATTGTTTCCAACACCCCAGATAACTGCTGAAGAATCTACTTCTTTATATGGTGTCTCACACGTCAAAAGTTCCCACATGACAACTCCAAAGGACCTATTGAAATTGTAAGAAACGTTTCTGAGGTATTTCATAAACAAAATCAAGTACTCTCTAAAGTTTAACTTTGCAACGTTCATAAAATTTCTTCCTCTTAAAGTTGGAACTCAGACTAATGTTTCAGTCTTGGCAACATTCAGAACACTTCTTCCTTTGAAAAATGAAATACTAGATAAATATATTTTAGCTACTATTCTAATTCACTCAGGTTTAAATCAGAAAACTGTACCTTATATTTGTGCAAAATGACTTTACATGAGTCTATATACCAGAAAATTTTACATTGTGATCTCAGAAAATTGACTTTCTGAGTCTGTATCAAGAGTTTTAGACTATTTTCAAAACAACTTTACTTGACTCTGTATCACAAAGATTTTGATTATGTTCTAGCATAATGACCTTACTTGAGTCCACACTAGAAAATTTCAGATCCTATTCCTAAAACATTATTATATTTGAATCTGATTCTGAAAGATTTTGATTATGTTCTTGCATAATGGCATTACTTTATTATGAATTAAAGATTATGATTATGTTCTTCACAATGGCTATTTAAGTTTGAATCAGAAAGAGAATGTGATTATATTTCTCAAGTGACTTTACTTGTGTCTGAATCAGAGAGAGAGAGAATTTGATTATATTCCTGCATAATGACTTTACCTGTATAGTAATTTGACTTGTTAAAAAAAGTGACTTACTAGAAAATTCTAGAGAATTAACCCTTTGTAGAATACTTGCCAGGCCTGCAAGGTCTTGGGTTAAAATCCAAGGCAAGGAAATATAAATGTATATCATGAAAAGATAAATTACTACATTTGTAGGCTCATCCACGATTTAGACCAAGGATCTTTACACACTGGGATAAAGTAATTAACCCACTAACATTTGCTAATAGTCACTTTTTTCAATAACTCAAAACAACTACACATGAGTGAATGACAGGAATTTAGATTATATTAATGCAAAATTAACAACTTTAGCTAAGTTGGAATCTGAAAGGTTTTGATTATATTCCTACAAAATAACTTACTTGATAGCCTAGGTGTTAGAACAAAATTTCTAAAAAATGCTCACCCAAAATAGAAGAAAATGCTTTTTGGTATAGACCAGATAGGTATTAGGGTCCATACAAATACCGTTTGTGTGAATGTATAAAATTGCAGCCATACCCACTTTTACAGGCCTCAAAGTTACGACTATAACAACAACTTGTTTTATTTTTTAAAACTTCCTGTCTAGAAATAGGTAATCATTATACACAAGGTGGTTATATAAGGGTGGAAAAACATTTAAAAACTATCAATTTCTATTCCTACTTAACATTAATCCAAGAAGTTGGATTCTAGCCCTCTAAAACACAAAATATAACTCTTACAGAGATAGTAGGATACTCTAGTCAGATGGAGATACCATGGCACTGCATATGATGATCTCCACTTTTACAACAGATTACATGAACTTTGGGGAACTATCTAAGAAATCTTGTCAGATGGTTGTGATGTACGTTGGAAAGAGGAATCGTTCAATGCTATTGAAAGATCCAGAAGATAGAATATACAAATGAAAGAAATACAGAATTTGACAGAAAATACTCCCCACTCTAATAAGAAAACAAAAGTGCTGTCAAACCATAAGAATAAAGTCAATGTTACAAGGAAAAGAACAGAAACTTTTAAATGGGCATAAGCTGTACCTTGCAGGAGGAGATTCGGACCCAGACAGAACCATCTTGATGACAAAACACATGCACTTAAGACCTGACCATAAAAGGTGGATTTCAGAATGTTTTTATATATCAAGTTTACTGCCAAAAAATATAAATATGAAAAAGTTATGGAGCACAGACATAGATGTTGCGTTTTTCCTTACCCCACATTTTAACAAAGTTAGGCACCCAGTATCCATATGAAAGCCAGTAGCATATCTAAAATGCTTTTTCCTAAGTTCTATGCAATATCATTCTTGATTTAAGTCATTGTTTTTTTTCCATACCAGTTTTAACATATAGTCTTTCAAATCTTAATTTCAAATCATATTTTGGATACTTTGCATGGCACATAAAGTGAGGCAAGGAAAAGTTTGATAAAAAACATTCAAAGTGTGGTGGAATGTGCCCCCTTCTTTCCCCCTGGTTAGGCACCGATGAGTACTCCACTAGTTATTACCGTAGAATAGTTTAAAAGAAATGGTTAGATATTTTACATGAAAGTCCATATACTTTACAGACAAATCTGGTGTCTAACATGCACTTATCTACTGACAAAGAAACATTCAAAATGTGTTCACTCAGTCTTTTGTGAAATCAGGAAAGAATTACGATTCATTAGATACATTATGGTACAACTTCAAGATTGAAGTACAAGTCCTTACATGCATTATGATATGAGTTGTCCTCGAAGAGAAGTTTTGCAAATGGAAAACTACCAGCAACATAAAATATGTAAAATACCAGATATACATATAAATTTATATGGCTTTATGCAAAAGAGATATGGATTCTATGTCTATCTTTTCCAGTCAAAAGAGATGGAAACGTTGCAAGAATGGACATTAATTTCCAGTATGATGAACAAACCTCCAGCTCCAAACATTCTTGTAGAATTTGCACAGTATGGATTCATGAATGACTGAAGCAACAGAAAGTATAGATGCAAAAAAGATACAACTGTATGTACTAAGGGGTCTACTTCCAAAGAGGAGTAGTATGTTTAAACGAACATTTTTCTTCTGAATTGTAGATTCACTTAATGTAATGAATATGGTACACCTATATATGTAACATGAAACTTGAGCACAATTGAGGGAAATGTACCAAAAACTTTCTATGATATAATATAATTAGAACTTGCTGAAGTACCTGAAAAAAATAATTAAATTTTTTGTTACAAAAGGATAACATATATACATTTCAAGGACTGCAAAATTATGTAGAAGTGATTTTTAATACACAAATTCATATACCTTTAAGAATATCATCCTTTCATTATACTTATAAACAGCCATACCAATATTTGGTATTTTTTAATCTGAATTAATATTCCTAAGTTATTGATAATTGAACTAATTTCTCCTGACATAGTATCAATCCAAGATATATATTAACACTAAAATGAAAAGGCATTAAATTACATTTCATCAGTTATACCATTTTGTATGTTAGATATATACACAACTTTTTCATTTAAACTTAACATGAGAGTTATGATTCACATAGTTATAAAGTGTGAATGTTAAATTTAGTATTTTTAGAAAATAATTTATTGCAGGTTTGATTACATAACTCTTTAGTTCAATAGTTGTGAATTGATGACATGTTACTTGAACTTTCTGAATTTTTCTCATTGCTTTAAGTGAGTATTGTTATGTCATAACATTTCGTTGCTTGTAGAAAGTTCTAGGCCTCAATTGGGCAATATATATATAGATCACCAAGTCAGTACAAGAAAGGTTAGAAAGTAGGGAAGTTAGTGAAAATGAAAGTAAAAGTGAAGTTAGACTCTGTTTGAGTTTGGCCATAATGGGCAATTTCTAAAGTGAGTTTCACAGCTTGTATTGTAATAACAGAGATAGAAGAGAATAATTCATCTTGTCAATTGGGTTCCCAAGTAATTGAATCAGCCTGTGTGGACTTTTGACATAAAAGAGAATTATTTAAAGCTTTTGATACAACTGTGGTAACCCACGGGGTAACATAAGTGACTTTATCATTGATTGTATTGTGATAACAGAGGAGAGGAGAATAATTTGTCTTGTTAAAGGGTGTTCTAAAGTAATTCGACCTGCCTGTGTGGACTTTGATGAAAAAGAGAATTATTTAAAGCCCTGGATACAATTGTGATAACCAATATATAATTTTTATACATACATTTGACTTGTTTTGAATAAATTTATTTTCAAACAAATGGATTGTGTGCTGTCCAGTTATTGTTGAAATTTATCACAAACAAGTCACAAACACCTACTGTACAGAATCCTGCCCTATAAAAACCTAACATTGTATAACTATGAATATTGTAAGTGGGAAATAAACATTTTAAGCAAGAAAAATCTGAAGACTGTTTTTGCTATTAATATTATTGCATTTAATTTTACCTTGATATAGTTGCAATTGTAATTGATCAACTCATTATATTTGTCATATCTAACATTATATTTTGACTAAAACATGCAATAAAACATTATTTTTGTATATCAAC